CAAGCTCAGGGCCCTTTAGCTTGTGATTGCAGCCCATCCTTGAGAAAAAGCTCCAAAAATAAACATTTTCTGCCCTGCAGTTTGTTCACTAGTTAGCTAAGGCTATGGAAGCAAATTCAGAAAGAAAAGTTGTCTAAGGGCGGAATCAACGCATTGTTTATGGCTCATAACATGTTAGGACGAATACTTAATTTTGTTGAAGGAAATTACCTCCAGTGATTCAAAAAAAGCTCAATTTAAAAAAAATTTGAGCTATAATATTTGAAAGATTCATTTTAATATGCCTGATTAAATTATAAAATTACCGTTTCCTAATTTAATAGTATAGGCATTTTTTTTATAAATTTTGCATGTAAATCTAAATCATCCGTTAACTATTGATAGAGTTGTTGGGTCACAACAGAATAGTGTGTCTAGGGCTATGTGTTGCATGGCGCCGCCCACCCTTCTCTATGCCTGAAACTACCCGCATTTCATTTAGATTCCTCGACTTGGTCATGAACTCTTGCCCGTTGAAGTTCCTCTAAGAGCTTATGCGGCCTGGCCGGTGAACCTTTACCTTAAGGTCATTCGTCCAATGATGCCGTGGTTGCATTAGTTGATTAATTTCGGAGTTTTCTCTTTTGCTGTCCCAAGCTATCGAGCGTAATCTACCCGGGCAGAGTTTCTTCCAGGCATCTGCCCCCCCCCCCCATCCCCCGAACGAAGTGAAATTTATATAATTTATATAGAAAATATATACTTTTAATAGCCCCCCCCCCCCCCTGAAGAATGTCTACCACCCCCCCCCCTTCCACCGGAGAAAAAAGTCTGGAAGAAACACTGTACCTAGGGGTTTGAACTAAGGACATTTGGGTTTAGAACGACCCGACCACGTTGAATTTTTACAACATGATACTATTAATTCTTCAACGAATCACTTAAACCAACATTAATCTTCATATCTGACCTATTAAAATTTTTGGGATAGAAACAAAAAAAAAACAAAATCCAGTTAATTAAATTCTTTCAGATGCGGAGTTGAGGGAAGACATCGAAAACCGATTATTTCGGTGGTTTCTAACAAAAAAAAGGTTCATTCGCTGCGACCAAATGTGAAGAATTGGTTCAAGTGATGAGCGACATGGATCAAAGGCTGCAATCTAAAGCTTTCGCAGGCGTTAGCTGCAAGATCACAACCATGTCATTCACGTCGTTCTGCCCAACCTGCCTGACTTCCGTGGCGTTCGCAGTGAAGAATTTTTTCAAGCAGAATTTGACGAATAATATTAAGAACAAGAAGCTTGATTCGACATTCACATCGATAACGAAAGGCAAGTGTTTGTAATGTTTTAACTGGCAAAAGTGCCGGTTAAAGTCTAACGTATACATGAACATTTAAGTATATAAATACGTCAAAAATATTCACTAACATCATTGCAGTTAAAAGCTTAAAACCACACAAGACGAAACGCTACCATAATTCAGATAATAAAGCATTTATAAAAAAAAGCTGCATTAACCGGGTGGTCGGATTATAGAGCTTTCGACGAATAACTTGAAAACTCGAGTTCGGATTCCGGAGTTTGTAAGACGTCCCTAAGTCAACCCACCGGGTGACACCATTTATAGGGGTGACACCATGACGTAAACGCGCTAAATTTAGAGAAAACAATACTACATCCAACTGTATTATTAACAGATTAAAGATAAACATCATTACTAATAAGTCTGCAGGGATTAAAGCTTTTACCCATGCATGTACTCGCGTAAGTGGCATATATTTAAATTAAGGCTATTTAGGCATATATATATATATATATATATATATATATATATATATATATATATATATATATATATATATATATATATATATATATATATGAAGGGCTCAGTGGAAAAAGTACTTCAGTTACATGTTTTTCAAAAATGAGTTAAGACCGGTATATTATTTGTTTACCTGTAAATTTGGGCCATGGAAACAGTACCGAAGTAGCTTAATTCGAATAATTTGCATCAGCTGTTTTAGTATTTAGCTTCAATTTTAAAACTTTGCACTCATTTTTCTCAAAACACTTAAAATACACTTAAGTACTTTTTCCACTGAGCCCTTCATATATACTTTGTTTCTTTGGGGAGGGGGGACACTCCACCGGATGACACCAGACATAGCGACGCCACTGGGGGTACCTGACTAATGCTAGGCGAAACAACTCTAAATTACAATATATGTCGAGGTCATTGAAACACATTATCTCTATTGTAATTGATTTATATGTTTTGGACATGAAAGGACAATGATGATAACAGATACACACCCCCACATTCACACACACAATGTCAGAACTATGCATCACAGGCGAGAACACACTCCTATACAAAAGTACTCTAAATTCCAATAAGTCTTGTGATATTCAGGTACGACAGTGCCATTATCAGTCAGAAGGGAAGAAGAAAACACGGAGTCAAATATATTCCCTGTGCGAATAATACTACAAAGAGTCGACAATGGTAAGATTTTAAAATATGTATCATAACTGTTATGTTATAATTAAACACTGAAGTTAAGAGTATAATTAAATTTGAACTATTTGAAAACATTATATTAAAAATGTTTTTTTTTTGTTTAAAAAAATGTAATTTATTAATCACATTATTGCATTACTTTGAATTATACATATTTAAATTTTGAAATAGTATTACTGAACAGTGGCGGAACTAGAAAATAATGTGTGTTGGTTACTGTATTGTAGAACAATCACTGCTGGTGTATATCCCATTTTTTTTCTTTATTAAACTACTAGTATATCAAGGTTAAAAAACAGTTTTGTTTTTGGTCGGATTCAGTGGCGTAGCTACCGTAAAGCTAGCGTAAGCAAGGCATAGGGGCCGAAAGGAAAATATGGGCCCTTTTTTGAAATTTTGAGGGGGGTGCAAATCGAAAGTCTGAGGGTGGGGGGTGCAAATCAAAAGTCTGAGGGGGGGGGGGGGTGCAAAGCGAAAGTTTGTCCCCGGTAGCCAGGAAAAGTCGCTACGCCTCTGAGGGTCCCACTAACACTTTTTCATAGGGGCCCAAAAATCCTAGCTACGCCAATGGTCGGATTCTGGGCCCCTATAACGGCTTGGGGACAGCATTACATTGCCTTGTCTGGTGATGTGATAGTGGTTCCGCCCCTGTTTCTGAATATACATATTGCTTCAAGCGTGTATTCTATCCCTGTTTTATTTGGCCAGGTGACCCATGTGTGAGAACATCAGAACAACACGTTATAAAGCTATGTAGCATGGTTTATCACTTCTTGCGACACATGGAAAAGGAAACGAAACAAATAGACGTTAGTGTCCTTAGTAAAAAAATTCTCCACTCACAAACATCTCTATCTATTTTTATTTATCTCTCTCTCTTTATATATATACTAGGCATGCTGCCCAGCTTCGCTTAGGCTTTCGAAAACATTGAGAATTTGAATGCTTAATTAATTCGCCCGAGGGCCGGTCTACGACCTCAGGAGTTATGAAGAGGTTCCTACGTGGACATTTTTTTCGGTCAGTTGAGGTCAGTTTTAAACCACTCATCGTAGACTGTTCGGCCAACCGGCCCCCGTGTTCTGTCGCCCCAAGGCAAGATCCTGTCAAATTTGAAGCGCCTGCGGCGCCGGGAAGTGCCCTATCGGGCACTCGACAACTTGCTTTATATCTTATAGAGATAAGCAAAGTGCATAGATAAACAAAGATTTCAATAAAGTAATTAGGGCCTGAAATACTTTAGTTTAGAAATGTATTATTTGAATAGATTCTAGATCAAGATAGGGTCTACAACTGTGTACGTCTAGTTTTTCCGTAGATCTAGATCATCTAGATCTAGATCTAGAATCTCTAGATCTAGATGATCTAGAATATTAGATCTAGATGATATAGAATATCAAGATCTAGAATATCTAGATCTAGAATCGTAATAGAATTTTTTTAAAGTTTAGCCCGAGCAAAATTGTATTGTATAAATTTTATAGCGTACGTAGATCTAAATCAAATTTGAATGAAATAGTTCATTTCTTTTTATTCTAAACACAGCAGATTACGTCATTAGTTAATGTATAAACATTAGTGACGTCACTGTTTTATGCATTCTTTTTCACAACTATAAACGCTTTTCCTGTTGCATAAGTAAAACTGTTTCTCTACATTCGAATACGCCTTTATTTTTTTATTTTTCTTCTTTAAATAAAATTGTGGTTATACATTTAAAACATCTAACATATTATTTTCAACAAAAGTCCGTATAAAGGTATCCATATATCGCTGCCGATTCTGACGTGATATCCGGCGAAAATATTTTGCGGATAGACAGAGAGAGAGAGAGAGAGAGAGAGAGAAGTGCGCACATGGGCCATTATATATTAGGATGTATATATGTATGTATATATATATATATATATATATATATATATATATATATATATATATATATATATATATATACATACATATATATATATATATATATATATATATATATATATATATATATATATATATATATATATATATATATATATATATATACTTTTGCCATTAGTATACAAATAATGTTAATAAATAAATAAATAAATAAATATAGGCCTCTATTACTATAATATAATTATATTAGCCTATAAGCCTATATATTTAAAATGATTTAAAATATCTCATAATATGTGTACCATATATATATATATATATATATATATATATATATATATATATATATATATATATATATATATATATATATTATATATATGTATATATATATATATTTATATATATATATATATATATATATATATATATATATATATGTGTGTGTGTGTGTGTGTTAATGTATAAATATGTAACCCAATTGTAGAAGTGAGCGGTGCTTAGCCTCATTACTTTAGTCACTCGAAATGAATGTAATACAACACTCAAACATCTTTATAAAAGTGTACACTAGATGTATGAAATGACTAAATTTTATCCAACTTGCCACTCAGGATTTTGTCGCCAAAACAGACTTGAACTTTCACATCGATCAAGTCGAAATGAATAAGACAAGGGCTATTGTTACCAGTCAGAAACAGGAAGTGTTGGATGTCATCCGGCACAGTTTCATTACATGTATCACACAAGATGATGAGCTAAAAATGCTTTCGATTGAGAACATGCAAAAAGTAATTGCAGGACCGTTCATTGAGGTAATATATATATATATATATATATATATATATATATATATATATATATATATATATATATATATATAATGTAATTTCAAAGTATGTCTGCGGCGGGAGAGTGGACTGGTAGGCTGGGTTTGTAAACGCATAAAAGGGATGCGTAAACGGATCGGCTTATATTTGCCACACTTGTGTGTTATAAACCTGGAAAGGTTTGTGCGAACTTTCTTGCAAAATTCAGTAAAATTTTTAACTGTTTTCAAATTTCAAATATTTGTATTGTTGTTTCTTTTTTCCGGGGCAAACTAAAAGGTTAACTCCTAGCTTTATAATATCTTTTTTTTTTCTTATGACAACGAACACCATCAATACAAGAGTTAAATGCTGTTTGAAATCTCATGGCCTTGTGTTTATCCATCTTTTAAAATTAAAGATGCAAAATAAGGCCTACCTTTTTATGATATGGAAAAAAAAAAACAAGGTGCATAAAATAATCAAAGCTTTACCAAGTTAAATTTAAAAAAAAAAGAAAAACTAAGATTTTCTACAACAATGTCATTGTGTTACCGCGATTTTATATCGGTTAGGTTAGGCGAAATGAGGGAACGAGGGTTCTAAGAATGGCCACCGGTAGGAACCATCTCTACCGAATACATACAATCCTATATTTACTTATATATATATATATATATATATATATATATATATATATATATATATATATATATATATATATATATATATACATATATATATATATATATATATATATATATATATATATATATATATATATATACGTATATATACATATATATATGAATATATATATATATAAATATATGTATACATATAAAAATACATGTATGCATTTTTTACAGAACATGTTATGCGTACCACCTGGAAAACAACTTAATATGGTTTTGATTGGGAAAACGGGGATATGGCAAAACCTCAACGTTGAATTCCATACACTATTTAAAAGATCGGAATAAATCATGTGCCGTTCCATTCGGCATGGATTCAAGCACACGCAAAGCCTACAAGTCAGAGGCGTACGCTGAAACTCGCTTGATTAATGTGGTTGACACTGAAGGTTTGTTTAACACCGAGTTTAAAGAAAGTAAACAAATAATTGCTGATGCGGTACGAGCATTAACAGACGGTGTCATGAAATTTGACAGTCAGTTTTCCTTGGGCTTTGTTTATCCTTACGGAACCCGATTTTCAGATGAAGATCGTAATACGATTAACCTGATCAAAACAGTTTTGGGAGACGATGCTTTAAGTAAGCATGCGGTTTTAATTTTCACTCACGGTGATGATTTTAAAAGATACAACAACGTTACTTTTGAAATTTGGTTGCAGAAGAATCCTTCTTTTAATGATTTGTTAAAAGAATGCGGCAACAAATATGTTTTATTTGATAACGTAACCACTGACTTAGATGTAAAGAAAGCTCAGTTATTGAAACTAGTGAGACATTTGGATCAGTTATCCCTGAATCCTTTCACCAACGAAATGTTTCAAGAAGCCAAACTATTGAGAGCTGGGAAAATACAAAACGACAAAACGTTCAAATTAGAAACTCTGGACATCACCCTGGAAATAATCGATTATTTTAAGACCTGGAAGACAGGCACTAAAGTTGAGGATAGAATAAAAGAAAGCATAAACAGCTTGAGTACCATACTGAATGAAGAATCAAGCAATGTGAAAATAAATTCACTTTGCAAAAATTTAAATTACATGAAGAATGAATTGCAACGAAATAAAATTCCTAAGGCTAGTGGTGTTGAAAGATTAATCCAAGAGCTTAAAGATACCTCGGCTTTTTATCAAGAAGTAAGGGCACAAATCGAAGAATCCTTTACAAGTCGATTGGCTAAAAAATGCCAAATTTTATAATATTCACCAATCTTTTTGTTAAAGTACAACCTTTTCTGATAAAGAAACGGCTCAGTAGTAGGTTTTTTAGTCTTTTATATAATCATAATTTATTCGAATTTTTAATTAATTAAGATAATTGATTTAATACAGGCAGACAAAAATATGATGTAGCACTGAGCGTTTCAAATCACACTAATTGAACTGAAGAAACATTATTTCTTCTGTTGATCTTAGTGTTGTGAGCTTTTGCTCACGTAATGCACTGAATCACTCTGTTTAGAAAACAATGTTCAAGTGATAAGAATGAACCTTTCACCTTATGCCCAGACACTCCAAAATCGTTTTCTCCTAATCCAACCATACCATGCTTTGTCAACAATCATTGATCTTGCCCTAATGGTCTTAAGTTGCTTCTTAAACTTTTGCTCTACTAAATTCGACATCCTTCAGTTGGAAATTAGGCAGTGCATATCTCTGTATCAGCTGGTAATTCAAGATCGAAGGTAGGTCACTAATAAAGAGGAATGCTCTTCCCTAAATCAACTAAATCGAAAAAATGCACTTAAACTGCAAAACGAAAACGGATGGTGAAACACTATTTCTGCCCTTAAGTTGTATATTTGTTAACAGCAGACTTGTATTTCCTGATGAAGTATGCACAACTGCAATGTAGGTGCCGGACCGTAGTCTCAGATACTGTAGATTCACCTTAATTATAATTCATTTTCGCTTGTTTCAATTCCTTGCCCTCAAACAGTTAATGGGTGTACAGTATCATACACATGTGCTTTACCCTAAAGTAATAGAAAAACTGAATTTATCCCACCGATGTGTGATTGTTACCTCCCATGTTATTTCAGTTCAGCTGTTTTGTATTAGCACCAGGTTTTCCTCTATGAGACGTGTTTCTGGGCGTTAAATAAGAAATCATACGTTGCCACGTACCATGATCCTTCTCTCGACATTGCCGTTATAAACGAAAGTAATGATTTCTCTTTAGAAGTAACGACCCATTGGACAGATAAAGTGGAGTTCATATGTTTCTTGACCTCGGCATGTAAAGGGATAATGTGGTCAGCTATATGTCCAGCCGAATTTACTTCCCCTAACGTGAGTTAGGTACCCATCAGAGTAGAGTGGACTCAGGGACGTTCCACTAACTTGAACCCGGATTCGAACTCGAAACTATCGGGTTAGCGGTCTAGCGCTCCACTGCTAGGCTAGTGTAGTCCAGAGAGATGCTACACATTACGTTTGGTACCTTTTTTAAACTAATTTGTAATATATAAAGAAATGTACAGGTTATGATAATATTTTATGTTGAGTTCGACTTGCGGTTCGCATTGAACAATTTATAGGCATAGTAAATGTGGTGACATTTTCTTAAAGGCTGATTTTCGTCAATGTCAAAATCTTACATGAATTGAATGAAAATAAAGTAGGAGTGATCTCCCCTAAACTTTATTGAATGTTATTATCAGTTATTGGAGTCGAGGAGGTGTTGAGAATTATGAAAATCTCCATTGCGATTTTTTGCAATATTACAATACTTCCTCTATATTTCGAATATGAGAAAGTAATTTTTTTTTCAAAACTGTCATATTCACAACGAGCTAGAATGATTAACTCTATCCATTTTTAGAGTTATCGATTCTAGCGTTTTGATATCTATACTACCAAAAAACTTACCAAAATCCAAAATCTTTTTTTTTTTTACTTATGGTTATTCAGTTCCGTTATTTTGCAGTGTTTTTCTTTCGTTTTTTATACATTAAAAATGTTTAGAAATTGCTTTTTAACGACAATGATCTAGGTTGGACTAAGCCCTATCATACACATAGTAAAGTGCATAGACTGTTGGGTGAATGTCATTTGCTTGTCATTTGAGTTCGTTGGAGGAGACATTGTTACATTATATTTTAAAAGCTGCAGTGTGAATAAGAATTTGATGCAGTTCAACTCATCCGCAGTCACTGTAGTTATTTAGTCTTTTTCTTTTACAATTGTGTAATATATGTATATAAAATATATAATTTGATTAAACGTAGTTAAAATAATATTATTCAAATATTGAATAATATTATTCAAATTGAAAAATGCTTTAATAATATCAACGAATTATGTTTTTAAATTGACACAATATATTGACCTATGTAAATAATTTGTCACTCTGCAAAATACATCTATTTTTTAAGGCTTTTTTTATTTTACAAAAAAAAACGTAATTGTTTTGAATATATAACTTTAATAGTTTTATGATAAAGATACAGAATGCAGTTTTTTTTTCTTTACTCTTGTAGCAATAACAAATACTATTAAGAACATATCGTTTTAAGTAATATAATAGCTGAATTTTAAATAACCTCTACCAAATACGAATTTACAAATCAAAATCTCAAACTATGAACCACCTATGAACATACACGTGTCTGTAGATATGATGGCTGGACAACAAACAATATTGAAAATAAAAACCACAATAATAATCTTTCCATATGTAAAAAAAAACAACAGAAAAAAAATTATTCTGATATATATATATATATATATATATATATATATATATATATATATATATATATATATATATATATATATATATATATATATATATATAAGAAAATGATGGATTCTTACTTAAAAGAAAAAAAAAAGATTCATATAAGAAGAAAAAAAAAGGACTTATATTTACAAGAGAATTACAGATTTTAACTTACAAAAAAAATGGATTCATAAAAAAAAAGATTTATCTTTACAAGAGAATTACGGATGCATATTTTGAAGAAATTACGTAATTGTACATTTACCAGAAACAAGCCTAAATTTTAAATTTGACAGTAAGGTTTGAAAGGCTACTAATATGAAGTAGATGTAGTGTATTGTTGGGTGTAAGAGTATTTCTGTTTTGAGTGGAGTTTTCGTAAATAACAATGTGACACTAGCGTGGGATCAAAGAACAGGGTCGTTGTTGCTGTGTATACGAAAGATAGTCTCGTCTATGTCGTTGATCAAGAGGGAAGAAGTCTAGTCTAGTTTTGTCAAGCAGTGACGTTGTCTATCTCCAAGTTGGAGCGGGGTAGCTGGATAAAAGAAAGCTTTAATATAAAAACGTACCATTCTAACGTGTTTTTTTTAATATTAGAATCAAATAATTTACCTAACAGCTAAAAATACTGCAATAAAATATGGTAAAATCAAGAGGATGCTCCCGCGGAGATGAGGTTCAATAGCTGGGGACAGCAACCTATCTAGGAGAGAAAACTCCAAAATCAAACAATTGCTGCCTTGTAGTTCGTTCTTGGTTGGACAAATCCTATGGAAGCAAATCTAGAAAGAAAAGCAGGATGAAATTTAATTTCACCATAATGGCGCATACAAAATTGACACGTAATCCTTGAATGTGTTGTAGGAAATTTCGTCCAATGCTACAATTAAAACGGGGAAGAAGAAAGAAGAAGATGCTCGTCGTCTAAGTTTTTTTTTTTTATTTTCTATTTAGCATTTTAAATAAATAGGGAGTGATCTCCCCTAAACTTTCTCGAATATTCTTATATAACACTACGGGAGATATAGACATTTTGAGAATACCTTTTTGTGTATATTTTAACTTTGTAAAATTTAATAAATTGTATACACCAATTTGTATATGTTATCAATATGCTTTGCTTTTTAGTTTTCAGAAGATGGATAACTACAAAAACTGAAGATTTCAAACATCACTTCAGTTCTTTAGAAATGAAGTTTGTGTTCATAATGAATATATAATCATAATTAAATAATAGTTACTTTTGAGTTTGCTGTAAAACACCGACGAGCCACATAACTATCACCAAACTTAAATAAGTGTAGCAAATATTGGTAAACGCTTTCATTTTAGTTTTAAAAAAAAAGAAACCCAGTATTAAATAGGGGTATGTCGAACTAATTTCCACCCGTAAGACATTACACTTCTCGCCACAATCTCTTTGTGGCATTTCTTATATAAGCTTGCTATATCCTAGCTTTTCTCTTTATATAGGTGGAAAGAACCATAGATATGTGTTTTGACAACATTTGAGCAAGCGGAGCTCATATTTAAATCGATAACTATGTTTATAGAATTGCATAATTTTGCAACCACCAAGCTTATACTCGGTAGAAAATAACACGATAGTGCTAAAATCGTATATTTATACCAATTGGTACAATTTAACGTTTAACCAATATATTATGACTTGGGATTCCCGATTTGCAGTCGTGCTTTCTACTATTGTTCTATGCAGCCCTCTATAGCATTTATGATGGAATGTGAGGAAAAAACGGAAAACCATTTTACCTATCCCATTTATAGCTTCGAATATCATAATAGAATGCCCGATTATTATGTCCCTAGTGTCGACACAAGTCTCGAGTCCGTAGAGCGTCTTTGAGTCAACTTAGCTCTCATCGGTACCTGAGAAACATTTCTTCTTAAATGATGTGGTTACATAAACAGATGCACTTAACCTCCCATATGATTCTCATGTCCGATGTCGTATGTAACTTTTTATGAGATTCAGTTTAATGTAGTTTATTTTTGTGCGTAATAAAACAAATCGTAAATAAAATAATTGAAAACAAAATCATAAAAAAACGTTGTAATAACAAGCTTGTAGGTAATAATGCACTAAAAAGTAGAAAATATTAAATTTTTTAAAATATATAATAATACACTACTATTTATATAGCTATAAAGAAAAGCGTGGGTCGCTTCCTAAATATTAGTAAAAGTATCAAAACGATAACATAGTGACCCACGCTTTACTTTATAGTTAGATAAATAGTAGTGTATTATTGCATATTTTAAAAATGTATTTATTTTCTACTTTTAGTGCATTATTACATAAAAGCTTGTTATTAAAGCGTTTTAATGAATGTTTCTTTCAGTACTTTACATTTTTAATAAACCGGGAGTGATCTCCCCTAAACTTTCTCGAATATTCTTATATAAAACAACAGGGGATGGGAACTCGGGATATAGATCTAGTTATGATTTTTAATCCATTTTAAATACTTAAACTTTTTAAAATAGAATAGAATCTCATAGAAAAAAGTATTGCGCACCAAGCGAACGCCGAATAAAGATGTTCATAATGGTGCGCAATATTATTAGTACTTTATAAATTTAGATGCGTTTTTGAGAACTCGGAAATAGCGTAAATTAGTACTTCCCGTCAACGGAAATTACTCAAAATTTAACAGAAGGTAGAGAATTAGATCTTTTACTTACATATCAAATTTCATTCATCTATCTGAAATAGTACTCAAGATATAGGCTTTTGAAAAATTCAAAGTAGAAAAAGTACCACTTCCGGTTATCGGAAATCGCTCAAAAGTTGATACGGATCTACGATTTTGATAAAATACTTATATATGAAATTTCATCAACCTAGCTGTAACGGTACTCAAGTAATCGTGTTTACACACACACACAGACACACACACACACACAGACACACAGACATACGGACAAGATTGCAAAATTATGTTTTGCCGTATCAGTGAGGTGTTACAAATCTCGATTTTTTTTTTTGCACGATTACAAGACTTTCTCTATACTACGCATATACGAGAAAGTAAAAATGTACAATAGAGTTGCATGACTAAAAACCATTGCGCACCTAATGAACGTGATGATGCGTGTATAATAGTGCCGAATAGTTGGATGAGGCAGCCTACTAATTTGGACACAATTTTAATTGATTCATAAAAAGTAATTACGCATCCAATGGACGCCAGCGAGAAAGTCTCAAAGGTATTTGAGAGGTCCATAAAATGTTTTAAAAAATCATGCACGGCGTAGTTACAATTAATATGGTTATAAAATCCTCCCTGTCTGATTTTTTTCGGACTTTACTAAAGATTGGATGTATTTGATGTCTTTGATTTGGTTTTCACGTGTAATGGCGACAATTCGATAGGCCGCCATAAATTTTATTGTACACATTGTAAGCTAAAAAAAGAAAAACTAGGTCATGGGGTTTAAATTTGTATTGTTATTTAAAAACTTGATCTGCAAAGTTTTGTAACCAAAAAAACTATAAAGTGGGGCTGTCAGAAATCGATCATGGAGTTCCTGTACAGCTAATCAATGTTTGTCTTACGAAAGTGAAACATCGAGTTATAACTTAGGCTTGATGAAAATAAATAGGAATTTAGCCTTAAACTCAACAAATTATTTTCAAGTTCTCTGGATCTGCAACTTGTATAGCATTGATTCTAAAAATGTTAAAATTCTGAATTCATTTTATGCTTAAGTTTTTATTTTTTATTATTTTTACGGTCCTAAATCTAAAAAAGCACATTTTATTCCAAGACAACAACATTACGGAAGGATTCTCGTCAACTCGCTGGTGTCCATTACTAACTTTTTTTTTTAAATAGAATAGAATCTCGTAGAAAAAAAAAGTAAGTTTACCACGTAAACGCCAAACAAAATGTGTATAGTGTAGAATATTATCAGTACTTTATAAATTCCACATCAGCTTTCTCAGAAATCGAAAATTTGATAATATACTTATATATTTGATAATATATAATACTTATATTTGAAATTTCATCAACCTAGCTGTAACGGTACTCAAGTTATCGTGTTTACAGACATACATACACACACAGACATTCGGACACAATTGCAAAACCCAGTTTTCTCGACTCAAATACGCATAAAGCGACATTTTGATAAATATGGATTTATATTTTTTGCCGATTAGAATAAGTCTCTTAAACTCCGTATGTGATGAAGTACTGAGTTGTAAAACGGTGAAAACTCAGAATTTCATGTCAATTTGGTGCAAGATTACTCTGTATACGAGAAAGTAAAAAAACTAAATTAAAAATGATAATGGTGGACTACACGATATAATATTAATAGTCTAGGCCCTAGGCCAAGGGTCGGCAACCTGCGGCTCGAGAGCCGCATGCGGCTCTTTTGTGTCCAGTTGCGGCTCTTTAGCTCCATGCACAAATATTAATAATTATTTTATTTTATTTTTAAAAACTCATAAAAATATTAGTCTGCAACACTCGGTAATAAACAATATATATAAACAATAAACATTCACTATTATATTAGAATATTTAGTTTCTCCCTCAATCTACTTCCTATTACATTGTCCATTCCGAATTGAAACATTCAACTTCATACTGGATATCACAAAGAAACTTAACCAGCTAAGTGTAAAACTGAAAGGAAAAACCCAGCCTATGTATTTCTTGAAGAAGTGGTTTGTTTAGAAAAAAAAAACTTTTTTGTTAAATACATGGTGAGCGGTAAATTACTTAATAACGGAAAATCTGAAAAAAATATCGTTATGAAACCAATGCTACTATTCAATCACTTCAGCATTAATATAAACAAAATGAAGGATGATTTTGCTGAGAGATTTGAGCTATTCACAACAAATACAAGTACCCTGACTTACATAGTAGAACCTCTCAACACAAATTCAAATGATATTATTACATATATATTTAAATTATATATATATATATATATATATATATATATATATATATATATAGTATAATATTTGTTTAGGATTATATATATATATATATATATATATATATATATAATCGTAAACAAATATACTATTGACATAAAAATGTTAGTGGCTCTTTAGAAACCGGATAATGTTGTAAATTGGAACTTTTGGCTCTTTCGTCTCAAAAGGTTGCCGACCCCTGGTCTAGGCCTACCGGTAGGCCTACTTAATTTGATTCTGATATTGTTACAACAAATTTATAAAGGTTACGCTTTGATATTTTATAATCTCCTAAGCAGGACATAGAAACAAAAAGTCCACATGATTTTTGTTATTATTGGGAATAATGTTCAATTTATTTAGAAAATCCATCTCTCACTGGCTAATTTTAAGCGAGAGAGGCCGAGACTTACAAGCCCTATTGATTGTCTTACTGAAGTATATTGGGCAATACCGTGTTGATGTTTCTATCAACACTTCACGGTAATTTGGTCCAAAACGCAACATATTTACTTGTTTGACATCGCATGGGTTGCTTACTTGATTGACCTGCTATGGCACATACTCATAGAGTATATAAATCCATTTAATGCGTCTTTGTTGGCTACAATTGCCTTTACATTTAAGAATGCTTATAAAAGAAATTGCGTTAAATAAAAGTCTTACCTAAACTACATTCAATGATAAAACATGCTTAAACACGAAACCAGAAATGTTGATACTGTAGACTTTCGTATGCTGTCCATGGACACTGGTGCAAACATGTGAAAACCACATTCAAATGTGAATTTCAATTGTGTAAATTAAAATGTTCTTTTTAGGTGCGTAATATTGTTTATCTACTGCTTATATTTCTCTATTCTCTTTATATTCAGTTAAAAATCAATTTATAAAATGTGATGATCGACCGTGTTTGCAAAACTGGTGTATTTAAGTCTTGTCACATTGATGGTAAGTTTTCGATTAGCCGTACCATAGTACTATAGTAATATAATAATATCGCGGAATAATTCGTGAAAGTTCTGTAGAGGCTTTGTCAAGCTCTCGTAAACAGAAAATACACTAGTGATTTTTGTCTCTATGACAGATGTGTACTGGTTGTGTACTGGTTGTGTATTGGTTGTGTACTGGTTGTGTACTGGTTGTGTACTGGTTGTGTACTGGTTGTGTACTGGTTGTGTACTGGTTGTGTACTGGTTGTGTACTGGTTGTGTACTGGTTGTGTACTGGTTGTGTACTGGTTGTGTACTTGTGTACTGGTTGTGTACTGGTTTTGTACTAGTTGGTTGTGTACTGGTTGTGTACTGGTTTTGTGCTGGTTGTGTAATGGCAGTGTACTGGTTGTGTACTGGTTGTGTGCTGGTTGTGTACTGGTTGTGTACTGGTTGTGTACTGGTTGTGTACTGATTGTGTACTGGTTGTGTACTGGTTGTGTACTGGTTGTGTACTAGTTGGTTGTGTACTGGTTGTGTACTGGTTGTGTACTGGTTGTGTACTGGTTGTGTACTAGTTGGTTGTGTACTGGTTGTGTACTGGTTGTGTACTGGTTGTGTACTGGTTTTGTACTGGTTGTGTAATGGCAGTGTACTGGTTGTGTAATGGCAGTGTACTGGTTGTGTACTTGTGTGCTGGTTGTGTACCGGTTGTGTACTGGTTGTGAACCGGTTGTGTACTTTTTGTGTACTGGTTGTGTACTGGTTGTGTACTGGTTGTGTACTGGTTGTGTACTGGTTGTGTACTGGTTGTGTACTGGTTGTGTACTGGTTGTGTACTGGTTGTGTACTGGTTGTGTTCTGTTTGTGCACTGGTTGTGTACTGGTTGTGTACTGGTTGTGGTTGTGTACTGGTTGTGTACTGGTTGTGTACTGTTTGTGTACTGGTTGTGTACTGTTTGTGTACTGGTTGTGCACTGGTTGTGTACTGGTTGTGTACTGGTTGTGTACTGGTTGTGTACTTGTGTACTGGTTGTGTACTGGTTGTGTACTGGTTGTGTACTGGTTGTGTACTTGTTGTGTACTTGTGTACTGGTTGTGTACTTGTGTACTGGTTGTGTACTGGTTGTGTACTGGTTGTGTACTAGTTGGTTGTGTACTAGTTGGTTGTGTACTGTTTGTGTACTGGTTGTGTACTTGTGTACTGGTTGTGTACTGGTTGTGTGCTGGTTGTGTACCGGTTGTGTACTGGTTGTGTGCTGGTTGTGTACTGGTTGTGTACTTGTGTACTGATTGTGTACTGGTTGTGTACTGGTTGTGTACTGGTTGTGTACTGGTTGTGTACTGGTTGTGTACTGGTTGTGCACTGGTTGTGTACTGGTTGTGTACTGGTTGTGGTTGTGTTCTGGTTGTGTACTGGTTATGTACTGGTTGTGTACTGGTTGTGTACTGGTTGTGTACTGGTTGTGCACTGGTTGTGTACTGGTTGTGTACTGGTTGTGTACTGGTTGTGTACTTGTGTACTGGTTGTGTACTTGTGTACTGGTTGTGTACTGGTTGTGTTCTGGTTGTGTACTGGTTGTGTACTTGTGTATTTGTTATGTACTGGTTGTGTACTGGTTGTGTGCTGGTTGTGTACTGGTTGTGTACTGGTTATGTACTGGTAGTGTAATGGTTGTGTACTGGTTATGTACAAATTCTCTACGGGTGTAAAGTTTGATGAACATCCTTTTTTGATCAATCACCCAGGTCGTTTTTGTAATGTTAAAATCAGGCTGAAAACGGCAAAAATACATATGACAAGAGAGGGGGGGGATGTAGGAGGGAGAGCTAAAAAAAATACCCTACATGTTAGGGATGTGTATCAGGACAAGGCCGCCTGCCATGAAAATAGGCTCTGACAAGAACAGAGCCGCGTACCTGGTCAGCACAGGACTGCCTGCCTGGAACAGACGGCTAAGGTCAGCTCAGGGCCGCCTAAGGCTTTATACACTGCCAGGGAGGTTGAGGACTTGTCCAACTCAAGATGCCTGCCGGGCAGGAAGCGCGGGTTAAACCCGGGCCTGTCGAAAGGCTTTGACGATCTTCCTACCGGGACAGGGCGATGGAAGTACATGTCCGCCTGCCTGGGAGGGGCGCTGGTGACACAGAACCACCTACCTGGGGGGGAGCCCTGATGACGTAACGTCAGCTGGCTGGGATGGTGCTCTGTTCTACACGGAACCTTATCAGGGAAGTAGAGCTGCGCCTGTCTTGTAGATGGCGCTTGAAAGCGCTAAATAGCACAATGACGCTGAGATTATTTATACTAATTGGAGCGGACGTCAAGGAAAGGCTAAGTTCGTGAATTAAAATTAGAAATTGTGGGAACTTTTTAGAGTTTTGTTTAAACTAAATAGCGGGAGTAATATCTCCTACATTTTCTCGTAAATTCTTATATGGATGGCACTGTCATGCAATCAGGATATAGACATGATTCTATTGATTTTTACTTTCTCGTATATACGAACTATAGAGAAAGTCTTGTAATCGTGCAAAAAAAAAAAAAACAAATCGAGATTTTTGCAAATCTCAACGTTTTACACATACCTGAGTCGGAAAAACATAGTTTTGCAATCTTGTCCGTATGTCTCTCTCTGTGTGTGTGTAGGATTGTCTCTGAACACGATAACTTGAGTACCTTTACAGCTAGGTTGATGAAATTTCATATATAAGTATTATATCAAATTTGTATATCTGTTTCAATTTTTCAGCGATTTCCGAAAACCGGAAATGGCATTTTTTCTACTTTCAATTTTTCAAAAGCCTATAGCTTGAGTACTATTTCAGATAAATAAATGACATTTCACATGTAAGAAAAAGATCTAATTTTCTGCCCTGGGACAAATTTTGAATGATTTCCGTAGATTGGAAGTATTAATTTACGCTATTTTTGATTTCTCAAAAAACGCATGTGAATTTATAAAGTACTAATAATATTCCGCACTATTATGCACATCTTGTTTGGTGTACACTTGGTGCGCAATTCTTTTTTTTTCGAGATTCTATTATATTTTTAAAAGTTTAAGTAATTAAAAATGGATTAAACATCATGTCTATATCCCGAGGTGCCATATCCCACATAGTTAGTTATATAAGAACATTAGCGAAAGTTTAGGGGAGATCACTCCCTGTTTTTTTAAATACTGACATTCTTTAAAAATAGAATAGAGATTAGAAAAGGGAATTGCGCACCAGATGTACGTACAATAGAATCGAGTAGACAATTTAATTCCGCACCAAATGTACGTAACCAATGTGTGCATAGTAGAGCAAAACATTAATACTTTATAAATAAACTTTAATTAATTTTTGAAAAATATTATGAAATATTATGAAACATCTAATTAAATCACATTTTATGTCACAGTGTGTTATTATCGAGTCTTGACCTAAATGAAAACTTTTGAAAAAATAGGTCCAGTAAAAGTAATGTTTTCAGAAATCGGAAGTAGCGTAAAGTGATACTTTCCTTCACCGGAAATCAATTAAAAATTTGCTATAATAAATGGAATAAGATCATATACTAATTTCTGAAATTTCATTAACATAAATGAAACGGCTGTCAAGTTAAAGTTATTTTAGAACACAGTTATAGAGTAAAGTACACTTTCGGTTTATTGGAGGTAACTGAAACTTAAAAAGTGTACTTAAATGCGAAATTTTGTCCAACTAACTGGAACAGTTCTCACGGTATAGTCTTCACAAAGTAATAGAGTAAAATACCGTTCCCTGTTACCGGAAATCGATCAAAATTTGACAAAGCATGCGCATTTGGAATACTACTTACATGTGAAATATTTCTTCATCTTAAAGTAAACGATACTCAAGGTAATGGCTTTTCAGAAACCGGAAATTGAGTAAGTGAAAGCACAACCCAGTTATTGGTTAAACGAGTATGTATATGTGTTAAAGTGGTTTTTTTTTTAAAGCACCATTACGAACCTTACAGAATTTGTAGCATGTGAAACAGCGTTCACTTGTTTCATTTACCTTTATGCGTATGAAGGGATAATTGGGTCAGCACTGTTCCCAGTCTAGTATTGTCATGCATTTATCATTAACATAATACGTAAAATCACATATTATGTAATACACTGTATTAAACTAAAACTTTGATACTAGGTCTATTTTTTTCTTTAACTTCCAATGTTATTGTCTTCTAACTATATATTGTATAGTGCTTAGTTAAATAATTATCGTGTAGCATTATTTATTCTCTACGCATGTGAATAAATATGAAAGGGGAGAAAACCGTTAACACTAATACAAGCACACATTTTAAATTAATAACTTCCCTTTTAATTTTTGTTACAAGTTGCTTCATATTTATTAGGTTTGGCCTAAAAAACGATGGCACTCATTTGCGTTTTCACAAAAATTGTTAATTCAACGAAATGTATACACTGATGACCTATGTTTCAAACAGAGTTTCTTCAAGGCATCTCTTCGGTATAGCCCCCCCCCCCCCCCTCCGCCCTCAAAGAAAGTCTACCGCCCCCCACCCCACGAACGAAATGGAATTTATATAGAAAATAAGGCCCTGGAAAATTCGGAGCTCGTCCTTCAGGAATGTTCTTTATATAGCCAGGCGCGAGTCAGACACTGGCCCCTGCTCACCCCACTCAGGGAAAAATTATATGGGACACCTGCTGAGCTGGAGACCACAGTGCGGTTTATTCACGAAGTCGGACTTGTTGTCTAAATCATCCACCATATTCTTAATTAAGAACGAAGAAGAAGATCCCATTTTCCTACTAACATTCAGGTTGTTCGTCTGAGCTGTGATGGTAAAACCATCTTGTGCAACCACCACCCCCTCAGGGGCTATAGTATTCTTCCTTCCTCTTCCCCCCCCCCCCCCCCCGCTTCCCCATTGGGCTACATGTCAGTGGGTGTGCGCAGGAAGTGCGACACGAGAACCCGTGAACGAGGTTACAGGATCGAGACGCTGAGCGCAACACAGATCGCCTCCTACCTGGTTAACGACCCCAGCGGTGTATGAAATGTACCAGAAGTTTATCATCGTAGAAAGATTGATGACAGCTTTCTATGTACTCTTCATGGCTATACCTACATGTTAAAGCGGAGACTTAACGAACCACACTGGGTATCGGATTCAGCAATTAGTATATTATTGTTTCATTGTTTATACATTAACATTTGTTCCATGTACGCTTCCTGGCGACCCTTGCAGGTTAAAGCGGAGACTTTAACGATACAGCCTACACCTACATGCTAATGTTGAGACGATAAGACGACGGAGACTGCGATGTGGTGTGCTGAGGCGGCTGAGCAAAAATATTGTGTCAATAACTGCGGCCTGTGTCGGGACCACTAAAACCATGTGTCGGGACCACTCAACCCCTGTGTCGGGACCACTCAACCCCTGTGTCGGGACTACTCAACCCCTGTGTCGGGACCACTCAACCCCTGTGTCGGGACCACTCAAACCCTGTGTCGGGACCACTCAAACCCTGTGTCGGGACCACTCAAACCCTGTGTCGGGACCACTCAAGCCCTGTGTCGGGACCACTCAAACCCTGTGTCGGACCACTCAACCCCTGTGTCGGGACCACAACCCCTGTGTCGGGACCACTCAAGCCCTTTGTCGGGACCGCTCAAGCCCTGTGTCGGGACCGCTCAAGCCCTGTGTCTGGACCCTTGTGTCTGACCAATTAAGCCCTGTGTCGGGACCACTCAAGCCCTGTGTCGGGACCACTCAAGATGAGCGTTCGCTAACAATCAAATCCTATATGTTATAACGCAAGTTATACGTCATAGATGTCAAGTAGAAGAAAGCAGAAACCGAGCATAACGTAGTTTGGTTATAAAGTTTCAAAAAGACATAAACATCATTACAGCATGGAAGAAGAAATATGATTATTAAAATATAGATTTGAACTAATAAAATACTAGTCAAGTATTTAACGTCGCTACGAGTTATCTAATTCAGCTAAATTAAAACAATAAATACATTTTTGATTAATGGTAAAATATATCTATTTTACTAGGAAGCAAATAGTTTGCACACAAATATAATAACAAAAAAGTTTTCTTATTTGTATTTATTACTTTCATTTTCTATATTAATTTTTTTTTAGGATTTTGCTATCGTAGTATTAGGTTCTACCCCTTGCTATATATTATTGAACGAAAAGGGAAGTAACTAGCATATTTATTTTCTTATTCAGCGTAAAACAAATAGTTTTCGAAATCGCAGGTTGTTTAAAACTAATCAAACACAAGCGTAAAAAATTAGGGTATCATCTATCAAAGACGTTACGCTTTTAGGAAGTTGTTTACCCCCATCCCCACCATCAGTCACCTTCACAAAATGCAGAACTACACCCCCCCCCCCCCACACACACATGACGTCTAATTTGAGCCCACAAACTTTATTTTTTTTTAACAAAATAAATCGATCTCTTACTGAAAATATATTCTATTACAATTTACAATTCTTACTCATTAAAATCTCACTAAATCTAAACTCGACGTTGTAATTTGATTGCTTCCTTCAATAATATTAAGTTGAAGAATCTACCGAATACAAAAAAAAAAGTAAAATGTAAACTATATGTGGGTAGGTGTAACGCCACTGGTTCTGTTTAGCTCTGTACCTGTATGATAAAAATTATGTTCTTTATTTAACTAAATAAATCAATGACATTTTTTCGAAGATAAGGTGCTTATAATAAAAACTATGACAACCTCAAACAAACATTTTCGTTTCCCTTCTAGCCTAATGCATTTAGCGCATTATCCTCAATGATAGTTATAATTCAATACATTAGAGAGAGAGCGAAAGTAAGTTAGTGTAAGCGCCACTGGTTAGTGGTTAGTTCTGTATTCTTTTTGTACTGGTTCTGTACTGGTTCTGTTCATGCTATGCACACACACATCCAACTGTTATATATATATATATATATATATATATATATATATATATATATATATATATATATATATATACATACATACATATATATATATATACATATATATATATATATATATATACATATATAATCATATATTAATCTTAGCACTTTTATACAACATAGTTCTATTTAATATTGTATTGAAAACGAAACAACTTATCTCCCATACATGCGTGTGTTGTTTAATTACTGTCCCATGCCCGCCTTTGTTGATCAATCACCCGAATTGTTTTTGTATCGTTAAAGTCAGGCTAACAATGGCAAGTACGTCTCACCACAGGTAACTTGGGGCAGGTGTGTTGTTTGTTTAGGATAGGTGAAAGCCTCGTTCAGGTAAGTCAAAGACAACATGGCTGCAAGGCAGGTGGTCTTAACGTTAGCTCTACTGGTGACTAGTGGGTGGGTGACCACTGGTCAAGATGATACGACGTGGGAATCAGCTTTTGATGCTTTGGACGATTTAGGATGTCGTCAGGTAAAAAAAAATTTCTGATTGATTTTCAGAGGCCTTAAAAATATTTTCACTCTTTTTGTATGGAGAGTAATAAGATGTGAATACATATTTTAGAAACAGAGTTACGAAAATTGAATGTGAAATTTGTAACTGGTTTAATATTTTATGAAATTAATATACAGAACACTAGAAGGTTATTATATATTTATAGAAAATCTTTTTAGTGCATATATTAGTGCTTTTTATTTTAATTTTTTTTAATAAACTTTCTTAAAACAAAGTTAACTGGTAGAATAAAAGACTTTAAATTACACTACTAAATTACAATGATCATAGCATATAATGAGTAGAGTACATTGAAATGACTCGAAACCTGGATACGGTAAGTACACGCTCAATAACTGAAACGGTACCACAAAGAGGAGTAACTCTCCATGTAAAAAACACATAATGGTGGAGTGTAAGGGAAAACATTTCAGATTTTCTCCCCTTTATGTGCACGCTCAACAGTGTGTGTGTGTGGCAGACAGGATCTGACAGGACCAAATTTTACCTACGGCATGCCGTGTTTCTTCCAGACTTTTTTCTCCGGGGGGGGGGGGGGGACGCTTGATATATCCGGGGGGGATGAAGCACTGATCAACGTATATATTTTCTATATAAATTCCATTACGTTTGGTGGGGGTGGGGGGAGGGGTGGCGGTAGACTTTCTTCCCCCACGAAGTAATACCAGGGAGAATATCTGCCGGCATGTTTCCCGGGGGTGTAGCTTCCACCCCCCTCTCCCTTCCCCGGGTGACATCCAACACCTCGACCCTAACAAAAAAAATCTACAGAGAGAATCTATATATATAATTCTCTTCTGGGAGCCGTTAAAAAAAAAAGATGCAAGCGCGCCTTACAGTCCCCTCTCTTCCTCTCTATCGCTACCACCCCCCACCCCCTCACATGGTCTGGTGAGCTGTGGTTCACGCTGTTTACATTTTACAATCATAGAGACGGGTTTGGTGACGGCTATTAGGGGCAGATAATTTAGTTTGAAACGATTTTAAACTTAGAGGAGGTAACTAGAGGAGGCTGATTTCACGTGGAGGGGGGGGGGGGAGGGGGGGGGGGTTAGTGTTTTTAAGCAAATATTTTCAGTGGCAGCATTGGTACTGTCGAAATCACAAATTATAAATTACTGAAAAGTAGAAAAAAAAACTAAATATCGGCGTATGATTCGCAGCGGGTCGGCTCGTTTTATTTATTTAATCTTTTCACAAACACAGATCAGACGTGATTTCATTGTACAACATTTAGCTCAACGGTTTCCCTTTTGTCTAGTCTTTGAGCGCACTCGCTTTTACCAACATAGACATTGGATCGATATGTGCTTTCCTTGTTTTTAGTATCACAAAATTTACCTTACTTAGTTACCAATTGCATTAGGCCTTCTTCGTTCTTCTTCTTAATTATTAGTAAAGAGGGGATCGTGATTTTTCTGCCAGTGGGTTTGAACTCGAGACTTTGTTCGAATTTATCAACTATGAGCTTTTTGCCGACTCGACCACGCCACCAACACAATTAAGCGTTACGTGTCAACTGGTTATGCGCCATTGAGTCCATTGACTCCGATTTCAGCCTGCTTTTCTTTGTAAATATATCATCATTTGAAACTTGTAGAATTTAAATTATAAAACTATAATAATTATAATTATAAAACTAATTGTAAAACAAAGAGATAATTCAAAGTGTATTACATTTTGGAAAGAAATTTTTAGATATTTAGGTGAACATTCATACTAGTAAGAAAAAAAAGTGAAGTACATTATTCCATACATAATCACTAGGTACCTGTTCTTCAGCAAGATGATGGAAGTTCTGAGAAACGCTCCACAGGAAGATGAAGAATACAATTACACTTCACAGATACAAGAAATCCTTACAGGCGAGCAAGTCACCTTTCTGATCCCAACTGACGAGGCAATGAACATGATCCCATCGGAGAAACTCAGTGAGCTACAGGGAAATTCTAGGCTGATGCTGGAGGTATTATCTTTGGATAAATGCGACTCACGTTATATATATATATATATATATATATACATATATATATATATATATATATATATATATATATATATATATATATATATATATATACTTGAAGTGAAACGTGTGTAAAAGATGAATCCCTGGCGAACGGAAGTGAATGCATGAGCGATCAATCGCTGTATTTTGCTCATTGACTGCAGTGAGTGAATCTGGGGGCTATATAATCGGAGTAGATCAAACGGAAGCCGTGTGTGTTGACGGTTAAGACTTGGAATGTTTTAATTAGTGAAGGAAGTGTAATCTTTGCTGTTGTAAATAAAGTAATAGAGTGAACAGCAGTTTATCGAAATAACTTTATGTATTTACATATATATATATATATATATATATATATATATATATATATATATATATATATATATATATATATATATATATATAAAATCTAACCTGTATAGACTATTAAGATTTATAGGAGCACTGTCTTATGTTAACAGATCATCACCCTCCACATCATCCCCAACCAAGTCCTGTACACATCACTAGTTAACCACAATGAGAGATTCAACACACAGTTAAATTCAGGGGCTGTTATCTTCAGGAACTACAGAGAAGGAAGTATGGCTGTTTCTAATGCTGTTTCCAATTTCTAAACTTCTATACACACACACACACACACACACACACATATATATATATATATATATATATATATATATATATATATATATATATACACGGATTATTATTAAGGTGCACGTTTCATCGTTTTCATCATTTATTATTACATTATTTAAATTTAATTCACAAATTTTCCTAAAACGTAAATATATTACGATATATTGAGATTTGTATGCATTTTTTTCTGATATAATGTGAAAGTTTGTTATTGATGTTAAACCACAATGTGCTTTCAAAAAAACGTAGTTCACTTTTCGAACTCGATGGTCCTTGGGAGCAACCGAAGTAGAGTTCTCCTGTTTCTGCGACCTCGGCATATGAAGTGACAGTGTATTCTTAAATATGTCCAGCCGCCTTTACTTTTCTTATCTTGAGTTAGGTACTTTTTAGAGCTGAGTGGACTCAAGGACGTTCTACTGTATTCATCTTGCATTCGAACTCGAGACTTAAAATTAGCACTCTAGCGCTCTACCCCTAGACCATGCCGTCTAATCCTTGTTAAATCTTGCCATTATCCCCAGTGTACGTTACGGGTGCACTAAAAGGTGGTGGAACTGTAACAGCCAAACTGAACCCAGGCAACAGAACTGTTCTCAATGGTGTTGTCCATCAGATTGATGCCATGCTGGGATTTGTTTACAAGACTGCTATTGAGGAGATTCAGATTGATCCTAACACTCAGTAAGGTTTTTGAACATTTATTCGTCTCCGTATACGTGATATTTAGTTAAATGAGATAAAAAAATAAAACTTATTAATATAAAAAAACAACGTAAACCGATAAATGTTTCCTATTCATGCTATATATATATATATATATATATATATATATATATATATATATATATATACATATATATATACATATATATATATATATATATATATATATATATATATATATATATATATATATATATATATATATATATATATACTTTTTACTTTTCTTTATGTATGTACTTTGGATGCATTGGAAACAGTGTAGAAGCGAGGTCGGGTTTCACCCAGTGCGGCACTTAATGGTGTCACCCCCACAGAGGCGTAGCGACCCTTCCCGGGGACAAAGATTCAAATTTCCGATTTGCACCCCCCTTCCCTCAAGCTTTCGATTTGCACCCACCCACCCCCCCCCCCTAAAACCTTCGATTTGCACCTCCCCCCCTCAAACATTCGATATCCACCCCCTCCCCTCAAGTTTTTCTCTATATATTTTGCTATTTTTTGCCTTGGTGTCACCCCCCTAAATGGTGTCACCCGGTGCGGTTCGCACCCCCTGCCGCCCCCCCCCCCCCTCGCTACGCGTCAGATTGGAAATGAAAAGAAATGCCTATATATTCTTAGAAACTTTGCACAGCTGATTAATGCAACAAGTCAAGATCTACAGGACCACTTGAATGCCACCAGTGGCGTTATTGTACTTGCCCCAACAAACGCAGCCATGAATGCCATAAGGGCGATCTACCCAAACTATACTGAAAACCAGTCTTTGGTTGATATGGTATATGGTTTATTTATGGCTTTATTTCATCTATTTGTATTTAAGTAGGCTACTATACTTTATAATAACAATGATAAGCCAATAATATACATAAAAATGTAGCGTTAAAAATTAATTAAAAGTCTACACCTTAATTGTGAGGATTGCATTTAATTAATAATAAATTTTGTTTCGTTTTTTTTAAAAATACGTTTAGATTTTCGAGATGAGTGTTTTAGAACAAGGCCATTCCATTAATTTAATAGACCATAACAGGGACTATGAATCCTTTAAAACCGCAACTTCAAGATATAATGGAAGTCTTATCAAGGTTTACCAGGAAGGAAATGGTACTGTCAAAATACAACTTTCCGATATTATTTGCAAAAAAAAAAAAAAAAAAAAAAAAAAAAAAAAAAAAAATAAATTGTATTGTTTTTTTTTGTCATAGAATTTTTAAAATGTTTTAATAATGTGTCAATCATTAATATAAATATATCATGTTTTAATCGCTTACACTTATATTTTGTAATTATCTTATTGTTAATTTTCACACTCGTTTTGTGATTCAGATCTATGGGTAGAAGGAGGATATGTAAAGGCCAGAGTTATCAAACCTGACATAGGTGTCACTAATGGAGCGGTCCATCAGATTGATGCAGTTTTTGGGATCCCCACTCGGGATATTCCATACACTGTCTTCTGTGAGGACTGGCTCGTGTGAGTACATTGTTTTTATTTAAATGGAATAAAATATAGGTGTGATTAGGTTATATTATTTTAGAATTTATTCTATGTAGAAAAACATGTTTACATGTGAAAAATTATTACTTCTTTAACACCCGAGAATCTATCATCTATTTTTAGAATAAATTAGTTCGGATGATTTTCAGAACTGAAGTCTTATCCATCTTGATTGTTAGATTTCACAGCTTGAGTTGACTGTTTGGAAGTTGTCAGTAAAGTGAAACTTAATTGTGTGGTTTTAAATTCATGACACCACACATTAAAATAATGCAAGTTGCATTTGTTGCATATTGATAGCTTGCAAGTAAAAATAATCGACATTGTTTAATTTACAAAACGTAATTAGATACATCATAAAATATGAACAAGGTATATCATAAAAGATGAACGCGATACGTTATTAAGTATGAAAATATAAACCAGGTGCATCATTAAATATAAACAATTTCTGAAATGTTTTGATACGGTATTATCTTACTTTTAAAAGAATAAATACATTTCTATTTATGGTATATATAATTTTTAGTAATTCAGTATTGACTTTAAAAAAAATTATTAACTCGCAGGTTTAAAAAAATGGCTTTAAATATAATAATCAACCCATATAGAATATGTTTTCATGTAAATATCAGAATAAAATTCTTACTTAATAAACCGGGAGTGATCTCCCCTAAACTTTCTCGAATATTCTTATATAAAATAACAGGGGATGGAAACTCGGGCTATAGACATGATTTTTAATCCATTTTAAATACTTAAAGTTTTAAAAATAGAATAAAATCTCGTAGACAAATTAATTGCACACCAAGTGAACGCAAATAAAAAAAGCGCATAATAGTGCGCAATATTATTAGTACTTTTAAAATTTACATTAGTTTTTTGAGAAATCGGAAGTAGCGTAAATTACTACTTCCAGTCAACGGAAATTACTCAAAATTCAACAGAAGGTAGAGAATTAGATCTTTTACTTACATGTGAAATTTCATTTATCTATCTGAAATAGTACTCAAGTTATAGGCTTTTAAAAAATTCAAAGTAGGAAAAGTACCACTTCCGGTTATCGGAAATCGCTCAAAAGTTGATACGGATCTACGATTTTGATAAAATACTTATATATGAAATTTCATCAACCTAGCTGTAACGGTACTCAAGTTATCGTGTTTACACACGGACAGACACACACACAGACACACACACAGACAGACATACGGACAAGATTGCAAAATTATGTTTTTCCGTATCAGTGAGGTGTAAAACGTCGAGATTTGTAAAAATCTCGATTTTTTTTTTTGCACGATTACAATACTTTCTCTATACTACGTATATACGAGAAAGTAAAAAGGTAGATTTTTAATAAATTGTTTTTTTTTCCCGTAGATCGACATACACCCAGCTCAAGTACGTAGGTCTGGACGCCTACATGAGAGATCCAACTCTGACCAGAAACCAGGACTGTGTGTTTAGTGCCAGTGCTGCCGCTGGTCAAGTCCCTCCTGCTGCTGGCACCTGGCAAACTAACACTGGACAAGCCAATCAGAATCAAACTAACACTGGACAAGCCAATCAGAATCAAACTAACACTGGACAAGCCAATCAGAACCAAACTAACACTGGACAAGCCAATCAGAACCAAACTAACACTGGACAAGCCAATCAGAATCAAAATTTCTATGGAGGCTTGTGTGGCGATGGTCTAGATAGGTTTTCATTTCTATTTCAACAAAATTTTGTCTTTTGTAGTTTTGCATGTGTAAACGCTTAGCGTTAGGGGCACATAATTTAATTTATCAAACAATGAAACGTAATTTTTTTTAAAATTATATTTTTAAAAACATTATGCACGGAGTTATAATTAATGGAGCCATTGTCGTAGGGAGACCATACAATTAGAAAATCTTCCAGGCATCTCTTGGGGGAGGGGGGGGGGGGAAACGTTTGCCGCCCCCCCCCCCCCCACACTAATTAAATATTATTTACATAGAAATTATATTCTTTTCACCATTCCCAGTAAAACTTAGCCCGCGATCCTAAAAATGTATAAAGTGACCACCCCTCCCGATCTCATAAAACCCCTCCCGCCTATACTCATGCAATCTAATAGATAAAAAAAAATCTCATAAATCACACAGCTTCTCCCAGAGGATCTCGGCTTAATTACAAATTTGCAACCTAACACATCAAGTAAACGTTTCGAATTACGTAGAAATCTTTTGTACAAAAAAATATGATTATCCAGAAGAAAGAGAAGCATTATTCATGACAGAGGCGTAGCGAGGGGGGGTGCGGGGGGTGCGGACCGCACCGGGTGACACCATTTAGGGGGGTGACACCAAGGCAAAAAATAGCAAAATATATAGAAAAAAAGTTGGGGGGTGCAAATCGAAAGTTTGAGGGGGGGGGGGGGGGTTCAAATCGAAAGTCTGAGGGGGGGGGTATAAATCGAAAGTTTGAGGGGGGATGCAAATCGAAAATTTGAAAGTTTGTCCCCGGGAAGGGTCACTACGCCTCTGGGGGGGGGGGGGGGTGACACCCATTAAGTGCCGCACCGGGTGACACCCGACCTCGCTACGCCACTGATTCATGATACTAGAAAAATAATAAAATGGTTAAAACAAATTCAGAGGTTTGTTTTAACAAGCTACTTTCTTCAATATTCAAATTTTATTTTACTCATGAATAAAATCTTTTGCCATAATTTCTTTTCCTACCCCAGATGCGAGTTTACCTTCTTTGTACCTAATGGAACAGCCATTGACAACTTTGCCCTGACTGCTTATGGACGGCAAATGATGAACGATCTGCACAAATGGAGATGGGTTGGTTTCAGGTTTAATAGTTAAGAGAAAAATTACACAGATACAATTTCTTTCACTTGGTTTCATTTATTTTTAATTGAAACCAACATTTATTTCTGTTCAATGTAAACTTTACAAAACATATTACATAAAAGATAAATACTTACTGTCGTTTTGAAGTAATTAGTAATACTATTGCAATGTTAGGGTTTAACCTAGTACAAAGTGTGAATAATTTGCTTTTTTTAATTGTAGATCTAATGTATAATGCACAAACACGAAAACACACAATCATATATATATATATATATATATATATATATATATATATATATATATATATATATATATATATATATATATATATATATATATATATGTATATATATATATATATATATATATATATATATATATATATTGATATATTCATTGATAAACACAAAGCCCTTTGTATCTATTAGCAATAATAGACAAACGCTTCCACTTCCACTAATTCCATTATTCAATTAAATTTTGTAACTCTAAGAAAAACTTCTTTTATAAACTGTATAGAAAAACAATGATTCATACTATTTAAAATAAGTGATTCGGGTCTTTAAATTTGCATTGATGTTCATTATTTTTTAGCTCCTAAGAAGATTAATCACATTCAGAGAGAAGATATACATTGACCAGCTGGCCTTTGGTGCAACTAGGAGTTATTATGCTGACAATGGTGAAGAGATCATCATACAGACAGACTCCAGGTCCAATATACCCAGTGGACAAAGAAGTGAGTAAACTTTTATAGTATTCCACTGTAGTTTGTTTAACTTTATATTATTCCACTCAACTTTTCTGACACAGCAACCTACATCATGTTTGGAGGTGTCAGAGCGCAAGTTGCACACTCAGATATAGGGGCCACCAATGGTGTCATACATATTATAAGCTCTCTACTTTTTATACCAGAGGATTTGGACAGGTTCGCCAATAAAAGTGATCAAAATAAATGTAAGTATAGGACACACCTGGTACACTGCAACACTTGTCATTTCTCCGTTTGTAAATGTTTATGTATATAATATTTATATGTATATATATATATATATATATATATATATATATATATATATATATATATATATATATATATATATATATATCATTCCCTCAGTATTGTGTTGTTCAATATATATATATATATATATATATATATATATATATATATATATATATATATATATATATATCATCCCCTCAGTATTGTGTTGTTCAATATATATATATATATATATATATATATATATATATATATATATATATATATATATATATATATATATATATATATATATATATATATATATATATATATATATATATGTGTGTGTGTGTGTGTGTTTGTGTGTGTATTTGTGTGTGTTTTTTGTTTGTTTGTGTGTGTGTAAATTTTCTTAAATTAGCTTACTTTTCATTAAAATTCAAATCATACCCTTCTACCCATGTCGATTTCGTTCACATTTCTTTTTCCATTGCTCGGTTTATTTTCGTTTCTAATTTTTGGATGGAACACATTTTGGTAAGTTTTTCAATTCATACTTAACTTCCACAGAATAAACAATATCTATCAACGTAAAAATCATGCTGTATTAAAAATTTTAAACATAGATTATAAACTAAAAATACGAAATTTTTAAAATATTTATAAATTGTATGTAAATTAATTTAATATACTTACTTGATCAAACCTTCTAAATAGTATATTGTGGCAACACAAATACTTCATGAAACTTAGGCTATTCCGTTTATTCATTTATAACTGTTCTTCCTTTCACAGAAGTAGCGAACTTTTTTGTAATCCATAATGTTCAGATAATCTCAGTTCAGATAAGTAATGTATTTCCATGTGAACACGTTACTGTTTTTATCTGTAGACACACATTTCTTTATTACATTTTTTTAAACTTAGAAAAAAATTACACTTTTGTAGAGAACGTTTACAAAATGACTTTTCACCCAAAGTGTATAAAATTGTACACGCGAATTACTTCATCACAACCAGATTGTTCTATTCCAGTTATTCAAAATGCCCATAACAGATCTTACCTTTTTTGTTTTCGTTACCCTTTCAATGAAACACTTGTAACAGTGATGAGATATACTGATACTAGTATTACAACCATGATACATATGTGAATTTATTACACAGTGGTGTATAAATCTCGAAAAAAAAATGAAAATAAAAAAACTGAGTCAGATACAACTATCGTATGATACATTTCAGTAAAGTTGTTTTACAAAATATATGTTACAAAACAAGTTAACTCAACATCAGAGGCGTAGCGAGGGGGGGGGGCGGGTGTGGACCGCACCGGGTGACACCATTTAGGGGATGACACCAAGGCATAAAAATAGCAAAATATATAGAGAAAAATTATAATTCCACTTAATTAAGTGAGTAATTCGATTGTTAAATAGTCTTTTAAGAGGTGCAAATTAAAAGTTTGAGGAGGGGGGGGGGGGTGCAAATCAAAAGTTTGATGGGAGGTGACACCAATAAGTGCCGCACCGGGTGACACCCGACCTCGCTACGCCACTGATCTACATGAAGCTAACCCATTGACGTTCATGTTCGAAATGGTAGCTTTTTTTTACATTACTTTTTTACATAGAAATATAGTAGTAAAAATATCATTACGTTTAATACCCTAACTCGATAGTATTAATAATATATGAATTTAAATTATTGTGTTTTAAAATTATATGCAGATATGAGACACCCATGGAAAACTTCAACTTAAAAAGGTTAATAAACATATCACTCTTTAGGTGTAAATTGCACTTCCTGCTCAAGTTCTCTAGGCTATATTGCCATAAGCAAATTTGTCTCTAACTGCATCTCACTCTAAGTATTCACTCAATTCATACTTTTTAAAAATCATAGTTAAATGTTAGTTGTTCATGAATTTTTGTTTTATTTGACGTTTAGTTGAACGCTGCTGACCACACTAACCCTCCATTTGCCGAGGTCACAAAACAGGCGAACTCTACTTCACTTGCCTCATGGTACGTCATGTTCGATCGTAAATTGTACTTGATAACAATTATTAAACTATTTGGTATAAGCTACTCGACACAATGATGAGATAAGAAAAAGTTAATATTCTACTTGTATTCTTCTTCTAAGTGTTACTAATTTTATCTGTATAAAAATGACTATAATTAGAGGCTGATAACAGGAAAAAAAATGTGTAAATCGATATTTTGGTATTTCAAAATGTTTTGGTTTATCTTCTTATCAATGCTACTCAAATAATTGTAACATATGCCTTTGGAATACAGTTTAGTAAATAATGTAAATCTACTTTACATTTTCAAAATAATACGTATTAAATTAAATTATTAAGCAGCACCACATGAAATCGATGACCAGAGCTTCGATTGAACAAGTACAGATTGCTACACTTGATTGCATCGACGTTAGTTCGGACACAAGCGCAGTCTTACATAGGCAACACAGCTTTCGACGCTTTGGTCTGACTAGATTGTAGTTAAGCCAGGTAGGATTCTGTTATGTCCATATCTCATTATAGGGACGGGAGAGTCTAGCGGTATCGAGTTCAAATCCGGATGAAGCTAAAAGAACGTCTATCCAGCTCTGATGGGTACCTTACTTACGATAAGGGAAGGTAAAGTCAGATAAGCGTAGAGCTTACCACGCTATCTCTTCATATGCAATGAGTAACTTATGTTTTAGAATTGAGTAAAGTGTACAAGTAGTTGAATTTAGCAAAGATTTATGGCTTTACTGTTTTTGTTTTAAATTTAAACCCAGAGTCGTGTTTCAGTTATCATTTAAATCATGACATAGCAAAGATTATTCGATATTGGCATTTTTGAGATTTCCAATAAAAAAATTAACTACATTTTTTTCTCACTATTTACATGGGTCTGTTTTCACCATGATCATTCAGGTTCTTAGACAAGCCCAACACGAAGAAGACGAATATTTTAACACTATACTGGTACAAGGAATTATTGTGGGCGAAAAAGTAACGGTTCTCATTCGTCCGACATCCCAGAAACTTAGTAAGCTTCAAGCAACACAAGGTTGATATAGCCGGCTTTTTGTTATGTATGCAACATGTACTATACATTACATGTATAAATATATATATATATATATATATATATATATATATATATATATATATATATATATATATATATATATATATATATATATACATATATATATAGATATATGTATATATATAAATTTATATATATATATATATATATATATATATATATATATATATATATATATATATATATATATATATATATCGTTATCGGCAAGAAATTTCTCCAGTCTTTTATAGTCATGTTCAAATGTAAATGTTGACAACGTAAATATATATGTTTGTTTACAATATGTTTTTTATTATAATAAACTGATTTTAAAAAGCCTTTAAATTGAGCAAATCAATGATTTTATTTAAATATAATAGTAACATACTAGCGTGGGATGCTATTTAAATTCTTGTACAGCTATTGAAGACATATTGTAGCGACCCACGATTTTGTTTAAAGAAAAATCATTTATTATCTAATTTTGTGCATAATATTATAAAAGCTAGCAATTAAATCTTTCCGTTCCCATTCCTGATTAATGCAGAAGAACCAAGTTCAATAAAAGCTGGTAATTGGTTAATACATCACATAATAAAAATACAACAGGCAAAGATACATCAAACATATAACTACACATACATACTTTTTTAGTCACAAATAATCTCAAACTTTAAAATAAAATAACGATAAATGTAGCGGATACAATAAAAGTTTTTTTTTTAATTATAAAATATTACTAGACTACCCGTCATCCGTTGGATAACTGTGGGTTTCGGGGGTCATCCATCAAAAAACATCACGTCTGTCACTCAGAGGCATAGCGACCCTTAACGGCGCCCGGGGACAAACTTGTGGGGGGGGGGGGTTCAAATCGAATCGTGAGGGGGGGGGGGTGCACATCAAAAGTTTGGGAGGGGGGGTGCAAATCGAAATCTTGCGGGGGGGGGGGGGGGTTCAAATTGAAAAGTTTGTCCCCTGGCGCCGTTAAGGGTCGCTATGCCTCTGAGTGACAGACGTGATGTTTTTTGATGGATGACCCCCGAAACCCATAGTTATCCAACGGATGACGGGTAGTCTAGTAACAAATAAATCTTTGATTTGACCTAGATTCTAGATCTAGATCTATAAATAAATTTCTTGGACAGATTGTAGATCTAGAGAAATTTATCGTAAAACTAAATGAAAAAGACAGTTGAAAATTGATATAAGTGTTGGAACGTAATAAATACAGCAAACGGACGTATTGTTAAAGTTAAAGATTACAGAAAATTAGCTTTAGAACGCGTTAAACATTGGAATGGGAACACAATCTTCTTCGATAGGCCGCCATTATTGATGTAAAAAAAATAAACACATCATGTGACGTCACTGTTTCCGTCGAGTCTAGTGGCTTTTCAAATCTTTTTAAAAAAATGTGGTTAATCTACCTTTGAATAAAACAACAAATTAATGAACGTCTTTAAATAAATGTGTGATTTACAGTCTGTCTTAAAACAAAAATTGTTCTCTACCTACATACTATTTTACAGCTGTCCACGATGAATAGAAGTATTCACAATACTCGATCAGCCAAACAAAAAAAAAAAAAAAAAAAAAACAAATAAATATTCAAACATGTAAACAAACTTGACTTTTAGTAGTATATATAGATTACATCATATTTTTTTAAATTTAGGGTGTAAACATTGTTGATCTTAAAAATGTTGTTGCGTTAAATATTATTCATATCGGTCTATGTTTACGTTACTATTTGCTTATCTTCTCTATTTAGTTGATAATAATTTATTATGCCGTTTGATTTCTAAGATGCATTGCAAAATACATAGCAATATAATAGAATTATACTTTTTAGAGATTAAAAATATACATTTAGCTATTAAGAAAAAGTCGACTTTGGAACGACAATGTTTATAAACATTTAGTATTTTTAAATTACAATATATAAATAAAATGTTCGTTATAAAACCTGAAAAAAAAAGTTTCATATAGTTACATTGAAAAACTAACAAGAGCATTAATTTAAAAACAGCAAAGTTATACAATCAATAATTATGGTAAAGGTGGGTAATGTCTACCACCATCTATGAAGATGACGTGATCGATAGAAAATCGCTGGAACACGTTAAAATTTGGCTATATAATAAAATCATTGTGCTGTAAAAAAGGTAGTTTATCATAAAAGAGAAGTGGTTATTCATTTTTGTTTATAAGATGATCAATACAAACTTTATGCTGTATGTACTAAGTTTTTTATGATACGAGTCTCTTGAACATTTTTAAGCACCTGACAAAATAATTCTACTTTAAAAATTTTATTTTGTAAAGTTTTCTAAATAAAAACATAAAGCAATAATCTATCAATAATCAAAATCATCCAAAACGTACCATGCGATGGCAAGTTGGAACTCATTAGCATTACCAATCTTTCTAGTTTCACCCTTCTGCGGGCAGGTAAAACCAATTTCTATTACTTTTATTAAATATCTTTTCACATGAACACAGCCATGAACAAGTTGATAACCTCAATCTTGACCATGAAAAGAAATTGTCAACAACATGAAACCAACCCAGCCCATACAAAAATTTTGTTAGTGTTTTTTCTTGCTTCTTTACTAGCCTCCACCCAAATGTATTTCTGTGATTGTCTAAGTTTAGCGTGTATATTTCCCAACATTCCATTTTACTCATGTTTAGTCTAATCTGCCTTTCATGCATGGTCTTGAATTCTAAATTTCTAATGGAAAAGGTTATAAATTTAAAAAAAAATTCAATTTTCTACAAAAATAAAATTTGATTTGAGGAAAAATGAGAAAAAAAATTTATTAAATATCTTGAGTTTACTTTTTAGTAAATACGCATTATACCACAATTTTCTTTTATTGTTTACAATAATTATTGCTTTATATTAAAATTTACCTTTTACCTACTAATATCTATTCAATAATGTATTTAAGTTTTTTCCCTTCGGGACACGGAGAACACATTTCAAATAAGTTAATTCAAGGCATATTAACGTCGTATTTCGAACTCGCTTACCCCCACCCCTACAATAAGCGCAAAAATACACTGGGAGTAATCCCCTCTAAACGTTCTCGAATATTCTTATATCAAACTACGGGGAATGGCAACGTGGGAAATAGACATGTTTTTAAATCCATTTTTAATTACTTAAACTTTTAAAAATAGAATAGAATCTCGTAGAAAAGAGACTTGCGCACAAAATGAGTGAATGGCAAACAATTTGTGTACAATAATGCGGAATATTATTAGTGCTTTATAAATTCATATGTGATTTTTTTTTTGAGAAAAAGGAATAACGTAAACAGCTACTTTTGGTCAACGAAAATTACTAACAATTTGAAAGAAGGCAGAATATTAGGCCATTTACTTATATGTAGAATTTATTTGATCTAGCTGTAACAGTATTCAAGTTATCGTGTTCAGAGACACACGCACTCATACACACACGCACAAACACACAGACACATACACAGACATAAGGACGAAATTGCAAAACTATATTTTTCCAACTCAGGGAGGTGTAAAACGTCGAGATTTGTGAAAATTTATATTTCGATTTTTTGCAAGATTGCAATACTTCCTCTATACTTCGTACACGAGAAAGTAAAAATGAAGAATTTACAAGCCCTTTCAATAACAAAGAAAACTACTGTAACCATTGTCCGCAGACCGATATGTTTATTCATTCCCAAAGATAGATATCTTAAAACAACACTTACTTAACATAGATTTGATAATAATAATAAATTATTGTTTTATTTAGATTAGAATCTCCCATTTTTTGAAATGTATATTAGGATTAGTTAACAGTATTGTTAATGACTATTGTCAAGTTAAAGAAATTAGGAGACTATTAAACAACGTGATTGTTAAAATAAAATGTCCAAAATAATTTATCAAAAATAATAAAAACATTCCTCTTTAATAAAGTGTGCTTCAGTTGGGGTTCATCTCACAGATGTACCGGTAACTGTAGCCACAGGGTCTGTCGTTGACGGGGAAGTAAGCGTCTTCATAGGCCGCACAGTCTTCATCGCCCACATTGTCCGGTTTACCTTCAATAACGACAGCAATAC